AGCCCCTTAGCCCGACTAGTAGGAAGGATACCGCGAGGGAAATTGTAAGGTCCGTACCTACCTAGATCACTCCAGCTTCGTCGCAAAATTGCGCGATTAGGGCGCTAATCCTTACGGGCCTGCAACCATCGACCTCCGTTGCAACGCTTCCCACCCACCGCGAGTGATGTAGAGATCAGCGTGCTCTCTCGAACGGTGTGGTTTATCTTCTTTGATCACCCTCTGTCGCCGTTGTACCACATCAGTCCTTACTGAAGGTTAAGGTCATACTTTAGCGTTTCCGTTCTCAGTTCATTGCACAGCTCGTTCATCCCTACGAAGCGCTCCCATACACCAGTATTGTCCCAGTGCCTTGCCTTCAAAGGCAGTGGCACAATGTAGTGGCAGGTGGCACAATAAATTTGATCACGGGTACGGGGAGCCTTCTATAGAGGGAGGCGGGCCCTTGAGGAATTGAAGGTGGAGCGTAACAAGGTTTTGTTATCCTCCAGGAACTTTCATGTCTCTGCCCGTCCCAATGTCTGCAGGTTCATCTCGCGCACCATCCGTTTCAGCAAAAAAGCAAACCAGAACCTTCACGTTGACAAGGTCAGTGCCGATGAGCTCGCCCAACGCGGGAACCAACGAATAAAAATAGAATCCGATTTGTAATTCCAAGGCGTTTTCCCTTAGAAGCTCTTCACTCTGCGTCTTTTAGCAGCTCTACTTTCATTTCCACAGGGCTTTCATTCCCGACGGGCAACCAATTCATCGTGCCACCTGCCCTTAAAATGAAGGATCTCGCTAATAAGCCCTTAATCTCTGCTGGTCGAAATTTGAGTGTTGTCCCCTCGAAACTCGTGCTTTACCTGTTATCGACTGGGAAAATGGGCCATACTGAATCTGCTCAATATCATTTTTTGATGTCGATTTTTGAGATGGACACCGGAGCCGTAATGCCACTCACCAGTTCTGGAAGGTTTACCAGAGAACACAAATCCAGGCAGGCTTGGAACAATAACATCGAAGAGAAGTGGCCGTTTGACGCCGAAATCAAAACCGAACCGAATCGGATTTGTGAGTATCGGAATCACCTATAGAAGCTGCGATTCTGATTTATTTTCGTCACAATAGTAGTATTATTCACCTTGAAGAAATCCCAGTAACTTCCAGGAAAACCGTGAAGCATCAGAAGAGGTACCGTATCCTTGGCCGACTCTTTAGGGAGTGAGATGCGTAAGAAATGGATAGCAAGACCTTCGATTTCTGTCCTGTAACAATACTATTTCATTTGTTCCCAGGGCTGTTAGAAAAGAGAGATGCGTAATAGTGAATCCTCTTAGCCCTTGATCACATGTAGGTGAAAAGCACAACAGCTAAAAAGCAGCATAAAGGCACACCTCACGATGAGTTCAGGTTCACTTCTTTTGCCAGTAAGAAAGGTGCAAAGTCACTAGATATCCGTTATAGCGGCACGAATGTGCAAGGCAAGAACGTTATGGCCTTGATGATGGCTTCGATCAACTGTTGGGATCTCTCCTCTCTATCATCGTCCTCTTGCTCGTGCGCCTATCTCCAGTGTCTCTGTACAGTAGCGCGTAAAAAATGAGCCGCGCGTAAAAAATGAGTAGGAGTCTAATTTTAGCGTTCACAACTTACTCCTTTCCTATTTTAACTACTACCGGTCCACTTCCCACCAGCTTCAACCGTCCGTTCGCACTACTCGAATGAGTGGGTCGCATTTGCGATTTCGGGAAGGGAGGGAGTCGCATTTTGGGGTTGAGCAAGGTTATCATAGTGGGAACGGAGGTTGAGGGAGGTCGTTAAGGGGATTGTGTTTGGACGGATTTTTTTGACGAATTTGGTGAAACTTTACGAAAGTAGTGCGAATTAGGCAAACTTATTGGATTTCTTCTACGAAAGTAGTGCGAATTAGGCAAACTTGGTGGATTTGTCACTTCTTGATACCAATTTACCCGAATCTCCCCTCCCCTCCCCCCCCAGCTCGAAAAGTCGTTCTGGAGGAAAGTGCGGAAAGTGGGCGGAGTTGGGCTGTGTCGACTGGTCTCAGAATCAAATACTATAGAAACAGCCATGATGGTGAGGGTGGTGGTCGGAGAAGGGGGAAGGGATCGTATTGGGGGAGCCTTTAAGTCTGATGGTGGTGGGGGGGGGGTCGCATCGAGACCCCCCTACACGGATGTTGCCAAATTTTTAAAAAGTGCTAACGTGACGGTTGACCCTGCTTCCCACCCCTGTTTTCATCTTCGTGTGCAATAATCATACCAAGTTGATCGTGGGGTGTGCCTTTAGGACATATCTGCCTTGGCGCATATCTATCGAACACAAGCATCCATTGAAGGAATCGAGTATTACCGGTACTGTTTAAAAGTGTTCAAGAAATGTTGATGTTGCTTCCAGTTGAATGACGTCATCACTTCCGAGAGATTACTGAGAAAAGAATGGCGAGCCATTGACACAGTGCTATCATCAACTGGAGGCATCAGACGGTCTCCGGACAAACGATTTTTCAAGCGCTCAATCCTAAAATATTTTTTATTGATTCTGTGGTTGTTACAAACACCGAAGAACTC